ATACCAGCTCCTTCGTCAGTGGCCATTATTCTTCTCTTGTTATTATGCACAAATTATTTGCTTAACTTGGATGGAAACGTAGCTGAAGTCTCTTTTGTTTTCTAGAAGGACCATATAGCCAAACCTACATCTGGTCTGAAAACAGGCCAGTTTGTGGATGTTCCATATTCCCTCCAGAGGTCTGTGGGATTCTTAACATTTTTCTAAGGTTAAGACGTGCCTTTCCATCTCTCGCTCATCATATATTTGATGAGTCCCAAGGGTTTCGAAGAAGGCCAAATGAGACACTCGAGCCCATACATTTTGTGTTTTGATCCAAAGAAAAGGGAAGTGTTGGAAAAAGAGAAGCGTTTGCCAGAAGAACTGTTTTCAGACTTTTGGAGGAAGTGCAGCGACTTCCCTTGCAGCTCAGCAGGCGATTCCTTGACTTTTGCCACTAGTTTAACCTCCCTACAACCCTGTTCACCAAGCAGCCATTTCCTGAGAGAAATATATATATATATATATAGAGAGAGAGAGAGAGGGGGAACCTGCTCGGTTCCTGTGGGACTATTAAAGGGGGTTTTGTGCTGCATTCACTCTCCAGTTTACTTTCAGTAAATTTCCTTCAGGAAGCTGAGGAACAGGGAGGGAGAAATAAACAGCTTCTGAGTGAGACCATACCGAGGGTGTGTTTAAAGAGCTTTCTGCTTAATTCAGCAGTCCAATAAATGACATTTAACACAAGCCCAAGGCTAGAAAGCCACTTGATTGTTAGACTGTGTGGTTGGGTTTAGAACGAATACACTTTTTGAACAAATACTTTTATGTGATAGGTTAATAATAATGCTGGGCAAAGATTATTTAAAAGCTTAAATATATATATATATATATATATATATATATATATATATATATATATATATATATATATATACATACATATACATATATACATACATATACATAAAAACAAAACTGTACTTTTTTCCCTTTGATATTTAAATGTATATATAATTTCGTGTCATGTACATATTGTATATCTATATAAAGAATACTTTTCTCAAATGTAAACATGCATGTTTGGGTTTGCAGTATATATACATAATAAATATACACAGTAGTCATGCATATATTATGTCAAAACAAACTAGCGATCGAAAGTCAGGTTAAAGAAAGGGAATTTGTTTTTTTGCCTCTAAGTGGGATCCCTGATGGAATATACTATACACATACCGGCCACTTTATTAGGTACACCTGTCCAACTGCTCGTTAACGCATTTCTAATCTACCCATGATATGACAGCAACTCCTGAGTATTGTTGCTGACCATGTCTATCCCTTTATGACCACAGTGTACCCATCTTCTGGTGGTTACTTCCAACAGGATAACGCACCATATCATAAAGCGCGAATCATCTAAGACTGGTTTCTTGAACATAACAATAAGTTCACTGTACTCAAATGGCCTCAAGAGTCACCAGATCTCATTCCAATAGAGCACCTTTGGGATGTGCTGGAATGGGATATTCATGTCATGGATGATAAGCCGACAAATCTGCAGCAACTGTGTGATGCTATCTTGTCAATATAGACCAAAATCTCAGAGGAATATTTCCAGAACCTTGTTAAATCTATGCTTTGAAGGATTAAGGCCGTTCTAATGGCAAAAGGGGTCCAACATGGGACTAGTAAGGTGTACCTAATAAAGCGGCCGGCGATTTATAATGTGTATACAAATAGTATATAATGTACCCATTTGCCCATTCTTTTCTTAGGACAATTTTGAAACCAACAGAGTTAAACTTTTTAAACACTTTAAATGAAATGCAGAGGAACAGCATGGGAGAAATAAACTGCTTAACAGTGAGACCAAACTGAGGGTGTTAAAAGAGATTTCTGTTTAATTTAGTCATTGAACAAATGACACTTAACACAAGCCCAGGGCTAGAAGGCCATACATTTATTAGACTGTGTTTAGGTTTGGAACAAAAACATTTTTAAAACAAATACTTTGTGACACTTTTGTGATGGATTTAAAGTACATTTTATATACGTATCCATTGTTAGACATGTCTTTGTTGCATAAAAAGCAATGGCTTTTACAGATCCAAAAAGTTAGATCATCAACACATCTGGAATTTCTATGATGTCCACAGATTAGTCACAAGCACTGACTATACTTTTGGTGGGAGATTTGTGCCGGTGTGATCATCTAAACATATGCTGAAGCCCTCGAAGGTCTATTGTAAGAGGAGGGGAAAAGTTTTGATGATTTCCTATAAAAAAAATGTAAATTAAAAGAGATTTAATCTCTTGAAAAGATTTCCAGATTTTATTTTTCTTGTTGCAAAATTAACCTGCAGATGTTTCTGGGAGGCTCTGCTGTGTGTAGATAAGTAGTTAATTATTAATTAGTTTTCATAATAAAAGTATTGTTTATTTTATTATCTTGTTTTGTATTTAGTCTGGTTTTAATTTATTTATTTTTTTGTTTTTTACTTATTTTGTTGTGTATCATAAAGTTTAATTTGATATTTTATTTTGTTTAGTATTTGGTTTTAATAATAAAAAATAAGTTTTTAAAAAGTTAAATTATTATTTTTTAATATAATTTTATTTTGTTTAGTATTTTAGGTTGTTAATTTTTTTATTATTATTCAATACTTTATATAGTCTGATAGAGTTTGTTGTCAATTGCAGATGTTTTTTGCTGTATAATAATTTTAAAGAACAGAAAACTTTCACATTTCCCAGTTTTGCCAGTATTTTCTGAGCACCTGTTTTTGTCTCTCAGCTCTCTTGCAGATGTGAGTTCAGATATAGCCCTCAGGTCTGGTACAGGCTCAACCCACACTAATCTAGACAGTAGACCTGATGCTTTCATTCATACCATGAAGGCAATGGAAAGGTTATGTTTCTGAGTCGCAGCGGGGTAGAAGTGGCATTCAAAGATGAGTCTAAATAGCTTAAACATGTACTGGAGGTGGTTGTGCTCTGTATGTACAGAAATGGAACTGAAGTGCTTATGAAGGTCTTATGCAATGTCTAAGGTATGAGTCAGTGCTGGTCAGACTGAAACAGTGTGTGTTGTGTGTGAGTGAGCTGACATCTTGTGTTAACTTCATTTCACTGCAGTGGCTGGGGTTTTGTTTGGTATTTTCTTTAGTTATGTTTAGGATTTAGCTTTGTGTTTAGTGTTTTGTTTTGTTTGGTTTGGTGCTGTTTGTTTTTAGTTTTCTTTTATTTTCATGTTATTGTTGTTTAGGATATTCTTTGTTTCACAAATTCTAGAAATACTGCTATGAAGATAACAATATAAAAGATATATGATATATATCTTTTGTTTAGTGCTTTGTTTTTTGCTTAGCATTTTGGTTTGTTTTTAGTTAGTTTAGTTTGCTAAACTAACTAACTAACAGTTTGTATTTTTATTTAATTTAGTTTTTAAGCATTTAGTTTTTTATCTGTGTTTTCTTTTTTTTTTTTACTTAGTTTTTTTAAACAAAAAAATAAGATGCTAACTTGCATGGACCAAATTTACAAAATTTTTAATGGGGATTTATTTATTTATTTATTTGTTTTTTTGCCCTTGCTTTTTACAACAATATATCGAATTGTTAAACGTCTTAGTAAAATGCACACTAGGGCTTCACGATATTGGAAAATCTAACATTGCAATCTTTTGTTATTTTACCATATATATTATGATATGAATACAACTGAATACATATACGAGTACATCTCTATTAGGAAAGAATTGATCATTTTAGATTAATTGGGATTATTCTGTAAGGGAGTGCATCTAATAAGCAAATAAAGAAATTAGAAGCATAGATAAATACAATAAAGAAAAAGTTACAATTAAAATAATCAGTGTGTTGTCGTTTTTCTAGTATAAAAGAATTCAATTATACAGTAGTTTAATAGTAAAAACAATTCAATATAATTAATCATTATTAAAGTCCTAACGGTACAATTTTTTATGTCTGAATGTTTTTAAAATCCTCATACAGTCACAGCAGGCCTCTAAAACACATGCAAATGATAAATTATAACACAAACTCAGCATTGCATATCTTGCGATTTGACTATTGCGAATGACCACATTGCTATATCGATGCTGAAACCATATATAGTGCAGCCTTAATGCACACTATATAAAAGTACATACATACATCTACAGTATATCCCTATTAAACAACAACAAGTTTGTATGCTTAATCCTTTAATACATTTCATATATAGTTTATGTTAGGGCTGGGCGATATGGCAAAAATGCAGTCTTTAATTCTTTTTAATTTTGAACAATAACAATATATATTTTGATATAAGTTGTAAATGCTTCCAGCTTTAAAAGAGTATCACAACAGTGAGCCACAAAAATTAGACGCTTCATAAGATAACTTTTTAAGGTATTGTTTATTAACAAAAACAGATTAGGATTTTTTCAATAATATACTTATGATATACAATATAAAATATAATATTCTGAAGCACTGTCATTGATAGCATATATACCGTACACAAACAAAAATCCTTGTTGTATTTTCTAAAAATAAACAATTACTATTTTTATTAATTGTATGATTATTTTAACATATTTTACTTAATTAACTTTGTAAAACTAGTCAATATTAAAATAAATAACAGTTTAACAACTAATACTGCTTTTGGGAAAGTGAATCGAGCTCGCTAAACAATATTGATAATATTGGCGTAGCATATCTCCAATATCAACACAATTACTGACTCCTGTTGTTGCATCTGTCTGCTGTGTGATTGGCTCTTTAAATCAATATCGAGTAAAAAGGTCCGTAGGTTCATACATAGCTTATCATCAATAACGACATACAGTAAATTTTGTCGCAATTTGATATGATGTCATTTATCGGCCCAGCCCTAGTTTAGGTTCTGTTCAGATTCCAATTTACACGATATAAAATAGATTAAAAATGTCCCAACTGTCATACAGTGACAGATAAGTGATTGTTAAGTTGTTGTTTTTTTTCCTTTTCCAGGTGGCACTGCTGGATGTGGACATCTGTGGGCCATCAATTCCAAAAATAATGGGCTTAGAAGGGGAGCAGGTACTTCACTGCAATGACAGACTCTACATTATACTTGTGTCAGAATACTGGGATATCTGAATATTTTTTATAAAGGTAAGCTCATTCTCTACTTGTTCTCACTGTAGGTTCATCAGAGCGGCTCAGGCTGGTCCCCTGTGGTGAGATCTTATTCATCTTTATTCTTTTGAATTCTGAAGACACGTTGATTCCTTTATAGTGATTTGTGTTTTAAACCAGGATAAAGTAAATTCTCTCTTTTGTAGTATGTTGAAGATAACTTGGCTGTGATGTCCATCGGCTTCCTCCTCAGTAGTCCAGATGATGCTGTTATTTGGAGAGGCCCCAAAAAGAACGGTTTGTACTTCACCTTAGTCCAGTCTTCTGTTTTACACATCAGAAATATAATGCTTCTTTATTGTATTTAATAGGTTAGATCCTCATTGTTTCTTATTGAGTACTTTTACGTGGACACCAATATGCTGATTTTAATCCGATTAAGACAATACTCTCATTAAAAGTCTACCATGTAAACAGCAATTTGCAACAGGATAGTCTATACACACACGGCTGTTTGACACTATTCTCTGTTCCTACCGAGTCAGTGAAGGACCATAGATAGACCCAATACGGTGTGTGGTATCAAATTCCATTTAAACTGCACTTTATAAGCAGTTTATACTCACAGCCAATATCCCGTTTGTCACAGGGGGCATGCATGAAATGTTCCTTAATGAAAGTGAAAGTGCCAAACTTCAGTTAAAGTCGACAAATTAAAAATGAATTATGTTTATATGGATACACCTTAATTAAATGGGAATGGTTGGTAATATTAATGTCATGTTTGTGGCACATTATTACATGTGAGGGGGCAAACTTTTCAAGATGGGTGGTGACCTTGGTGGCCATTTTGAAGTTGGCCATCTTGGCCAACTTTTGTTTTTTTCAATAGGAATCGGGTCATTTAACACATCAGACTTATTGGGAATTTCCCAAGAAAAACAAAGGTGTGCTTGGTTTAAAAGTAACTTTATTCTTTCATGAATTATTTATAAGTTTCTGACCACTTATAAAATGTGTTTAATGTGCTGCCCATTGTGTTGGATTGTGAATGCAACCCTCTTCTCCCACTCTTCACACACTGATAGCAGCACCGCAGGAAAAAAGGCCAGCACAGGCTTCCAGTATCCGTATTTTCTGGTGCTTATAACGGGATCATGAAAGGAACATTCAAAAAGCAACTCATGTAAACACTTTAATGATGTTATTGTCTTATTCAGATTAAGGTAAATAATTTGATTACTGATGTCCATGTAAATGTAGTCAGTGTCATGCAGTCTCAATTTCTGAGTTGCAATATGCTGCATTTTGTGAGTATGTTGACTTGCAAGATAATCTGGCCGCACAGATCAGAACAGCACAGCACAAGGCCACGTTACATACCCTGTTGGAATTCTACCCAGTATGCTCTACTTCAAAGTGCTTCGTATTCATACGCCTCTGACACCCAAAAAGCTTGTTCAAGTCACATTTTACTGCACTGACAGTCTAAACTGCATTGGCAAGACCTGAAAATAAAGAAGAATATTAAAAATAAACAGTGGTTTCAGTCTAAATCATGTGAAATTAGTTTATTGTAAGTGAATCATAGGCGTGGGACGTTAGTGGGGGGATGTTATAGGGCGCAGGGTGGGGAAATTACACACAATTTTGGATGGAACAATGTTCTAATATGTAATCTATTTTTTTTTGCCATGTCACATTTAAATGTCATGCCCGACATGATATGGTGTTCACTTTGTTTTATATTTTTAGATATATGTTTATGAATTAGGTTTATCTAAATACATTAATCAGATGTTGCTGTTGCTAAATTTTGGCGAGGGTACAAAAATGCCTAAATGAAAATGATGTTTTTCCAAGTTTTCAATGTAAAAGATGAGATACAAGTGGGTATGTGTGGTCTCTTTACCTGTGGGTGGCAGTCATATGATTGTTGGTTTAATGTGTGTTTTAGATGAGAGTATTTCTGGAATACATGTTTGGTTTCAAGCAGGTGTTTTATTATATATATATATATATATATATATATATATAACATATTTCCAGTTGGTTAACCTGCAGGTTTCATTTCAGTCAGTCAACAGGTTTTTCATGTCAGTCACTGGCGGTTAGTTTAGTGCTGTATCTCTTAATTATATGATCAACATGTGTAATGTAACATGTGTTTTTTTTATCCAGTATCATATGATATATGAGCACCATTAGTTTCCTGTCACATTAAAACTCTGTGAAGCAGAAGTACAGCTTTCAAAATAACAATAAAAATGGGCCTGTTCTGACAGCACAACACAATGCACATAAATGAGTGTTAGCGGAACTTGACCAAAGCCAATCAAAGATTTAATATGCTATATGAGGACCAGCATGACATTATATGACATTCATTTATCTTATATTCATTTATTTTGCATATGCATACATTTTAGACAAATGAACAGAAACGCAATTATCAAATTTCCATAATGAGATGCCTAGAAAAGCATTGTTCTCTTAGGAAAGCATGTGGCTCTGTTTATCTAAGGGACTAAGTTAAGTTTAGACAAAATGGGTTTCACTTCCTCGTAGTCTCTATTTAACCACTGTCTGATATCTAAATGTTGCATCTGTGACATTTGTTTCACTTGAGTTTTTTTTTTTTACTGCTTGAGATGCAGTAATGACCAATGTGTCGAGCAGTCGCATTGATGTAGGCTATTGTGTGCATTGACCTGAATGTCAACTCGTGTACTGTATGTAGAAACATAATGCATGTTTTTCCTGTAGTGTTCATCAGATAAACTTGTAATTGGGTGAGAGAAGGCGAGCTATTTTTTTTTTTTTTAACATTTTAGGAAGTAAGACTTTGTGATTCAGGGGAACTGATGTTGTTTTGTGCAAGAGTTTGACACTGAGAGTCAAATAATACCATACATGGCATGTTTTAGGGTTGCAGTTGAATACAAGTGTACAGGAGGCTGAAAAAAGGCCATACATTTGTACTTTTTGGTCATTTTTTGTTAAAGAGGTGATAATTAAGAACTTTATTTTATAAACCACTTTATTTTGCACTTATTTAAAGAATCTAAGTCCAATTTTTTTTCCTTCCATGTGGCACAGATGGAATATGGCCCATGTACCTGTACGCAGAAAAAATATCACATGGATTCTGATTTATGCAAATCAGGTTTAGGCCTTGTTCATATGTGGAAATTTATCTGATATGAATCGAATCTGGGTGTTCGTGTCTGCAGTGTAAGCTGGTAGATCAGATTTTCACCTTTCAATTAGGGTTGCACCTCATTAAAAATCATAGCGAATGACGTCAAGTCTGCCGCTTTCATTTCGGAACAGACTTCAGCAGAGTCCCAAACCTTAAAGCTCAAACACGAGGACTAAAAAAGTGTTTATATTGTCATTTAGCACAGGTTTTTACACATGAACGAGAGAGAGAGAGAGTGAGCTAGAGCACAACATCTGCCACATAACCAATATAGACTAATATAAAACTGTTGCGTACAGTACATCACCTGCAAAAGTCATGCCATGGACATCACATTAAGATGCCTACTGGTTTAAAATGGCCTAGATTAAAAGATGGGCAATTGAGAACTTTCCTATAGTAAAATTTTCAAAATGATTAAAATATTTAAACCCTGCGAACAGAAGGAAAAGAGTCCTCTTTTTTTATCAGCTGTCATTCAGCACCCGCTCTTTTTTTTCCATGGTCCCTGCGCCTTTACCGTGTGCTGTGTAAATACAGACAATCGGATACTAGTCACTTTTAAAAGATGTTGTAAGCCTGTTATCAAAACAGTCAGATACAGTCACAAAATTGAAAATGACCATCAAGAGTTGTAGTGTAAATGCAACCTAACTGTGCACTGTAAAAATGTTGGGTTCCACACAATTTATATATGTTGGGACAACAGGAAGGGATTAAGTTATATATCTTTATATATATATATATATATATATATATATATATATATATATATATATATATATATATATATATATATATATATATATATATATATATATATATATATATATATACACACACACACACACACACATATATATATATATATATATTTTTTTAACAAATTGAAGTGTATTGAACTTGGCCTGTCATAGTAATGAATATATCAACTTATCGCACAACACATGGACATTACCTCAATCACTTTTGGTAATGCAATGTAAATCGCCCATACATAAAAACCAATTCTAGCAACATTTTAGCAACTTCTCTATCACTAATGGTGTTGTCAGTGTCAGTATGGTTAAAAACACTATAGTATTAACTATAAATTACTATAGTATATTTTCATGTGGGTGCCTGACAACTGAAAATAGATCTGGAGGCATATATCAGAGCCATGTTTTTTTTTTACTTGCAATTTTTTTTGCTAACATTTATTATTATTTGCTTGTTTAGGATATACATTTTCACATTGTGAGTCCAATGCCTAATAATTGAATTTTTAAAAGGACTATAATTAAATAAAATATTCTTAATATTAAAATTTGGAGGTGATACGGTGGCTCAGTGATTAGCACTGTCACCTCAAAGCAAGACGTTCGATGCTTCGAGTCCCGGTTGGGTCAGTTGGCATTTCTGTTTGCATGTTCTTCCCATGTTGGCGTGGGTTTCCTCAGGGTGCTTCAGTTTCCCCCACAGTCCAAAGACATGCGGTATAGGTGAACTAAATAAAAAACTGATATTTCCCAGTACTGGGTTGCAGCTGGAAGAGCATCCGCTGTGTAAAACATATGCTGGATAAGTTGGTGGTAAGTTTTATTACGTTTTTATCAGTCGGTTTTATTTTTCAGCTTATGTCTGATTCTAAATGAATTTTCAATAGTATATTCAAAAATCACAACCACATGACCAATTAAAATTTTTCCACAACACACATTGAACAACACATTAACACACAGTACATGGATCCAAACATATTCACACCTCATAATAAAAGAGGAAATTATGGGAAGGGGGGGGGGGGGGGTTAAATTGGGAGAAGGAATAAAATATGATAATAATTAAATTACAATGGGGGGGGGGGGGTCAACTTTCAATTAGGATTTAGTATCACAATATAAATATTAAACATTTTCTTCATCACAGCACATAGCAGTGAGTGCCAGGTACTTTGGTGTATTTGACTTTTTCTTTGTGTATCTCATTTGGAATATAATAAGATAAAGGATGGAAGGATGGGATAAAGAAAGTAAATTACAATAGCTGCATTACTGCAGAATAACTGCAAAAATGTGTGCATGTTTTTGCCAATAGCCTCATGGTCAGCGCTTCTGTACACCCTCCACAACTTCAATATCTAATGTTTTACTTTTATTAATTGTATCATCTCTTGTTGAATTATGAAGTTATTAGTATGTAGTAATTTGTGTTATCTATATTAATCTTTCCATGAAAGATCCATATTTTGCTAATTTGGCATTATATAAACAAACAAAATCTTTGCTTTCTCTCCTTGTACTATAATAAAGACAAATATTAAACTTTAAATAAAAGTATGCATCTCAGATGTTTTTTTTAACGCAGTTGCAAAGCTCTTTGCTTATCTGACTTGCATCTCAAATGAGATTAGACTGGAGTGCTAAGGGGTGCAGTTGTGTGCAATGTTGTCTATTTGTTATGGTACATTGTCACATGTGTAGTATCTTTTTCGCAGGCATGATAAAACAGTTCCTCAGGGATGTTGACTGGGGAGAAGTGGACTATCTGATCGTAGACACACCTCCGGGAACATCAGATGAACACTTGTCCATCGTGCAGTATCTGAGTGGCGCTGGCATCGATGGAGCAGTCATCATCACAACACCACAGGTGAATAAACCACACTCAGAACACAGCAAATGGCATGTTCCAGGAAGTAGAGTTTACATGTCATCTAGTTTGCATTCTTTTGGAAAGTAATAAAAAAATAAAAATAAAAAAAAAAAGAAAAGTTTGTATATACAGTTAAAGTCAGAATTATTGGCCCCTTTGAATTATTTTTTCTTTTTTTAAATATTTTTCAAATGATGTTTAACAGAGCAAGAAAATTTTCACAGTATGTCTGATAATATTTTTTCTTCTGGAGAATGTCTTATTTGTTTTATTTCGGCTAGAATAAAAGCAGTTTTTAATAGTTAAAAAGCCATTTTAAGGTAAAAAAATTTTTGTCCCTAACAGCTATATATTTTTCCGATAGTCTACAGAACAAACCATCATTATACAATAACTTGCCTAATTACCCTAACCTACCTAGTTAAACTTTAATAACCAAATTAAGCCTTTAAATTTCACTTTAAGCTGGATTGAAGTGTCTTGAAAAATATCTAGTAAATTATTATTTACTGTCATCATGGCAAAGATAAAATAAATCCGTTGTTAGAAATGAGTTGATAAAACTATTATGATTAGAAATTTGTTGAAAAAAAAGTCTTCTCTTTGTTAAATAAAAATTGGAGAAAAAAAAATAATAAACGGGGGCTAATAATTTTGACTTCAACTGTATACACACATACACGCATACATGCATACATACATACATACATACATACATACATACACACATACATACATTTCAATATGTTAATGTCATTGGCCCATGAACATTTTCTGCTTGATATAAAACTATTTTATTCCAACTGTAACAAGAGACAATTCAATCATATTTTAATGTTAAAACAGCTGTCATAATATTTTTTATCAATAAGTTGACCTCTTTGGATTTTCAGAAGCTTTGAAACTTAAAAATGTAAGAGGAAATACTTTAGCACCATCGTTATTGTTTACATCCATCAAAATGGTCTATATATGTACAAGCATATAAGAATTTTGATCATGAGTTCAGATGTATTTAAGTGTAGGGAACAAGTTGCTTTCATGCTTAACGGAATGTTGAAAAAAAGTTGGTTTCCTGTACATTTCCAGTGAAGTGGAACTGACTGGTGTGAACGATATATAAAACAAAATTAAAGTTATTAATGTCTTCAGAGGAGTTGCACATGTGCTTAAAGAAGCCAACAGCTAATTATACTTTAATACTATAAATGTATTTTCTATACTTGCGTTAAGAAATGAATAGAACTCTTAAAGGGGCTGTACTGTTAATGAGAAGCACTGAAGCACGGAAACCTTGACTACTTCCTCTTGAACTGCAGAGACCACCACATCATTCAAATGGCAGTTGAAGAGACACCTCTTCTGCATGCTCCTAACAAGCCTGCAATCTTCAATCAATGCACTTACATTCTCTTCTTCAGTTGCTTTTCTAATTTAGTTGTCTGATAAAACCCAATTTCATATTACAGCTGTCATTGGCTTTTTAAATAACTCCTTTGTTTCTCTCTTTAGTAGGTCACTTTTTGGTAAAAGTACCTGCTGAATCCTTATACAGTTGAAGTCATAATTATTAGCCCCCCTGACTTATTAGTACCCCTGTTTATTTTTTTCCCCAATTTCTGTTTAATGGAGGGAAGATTGTTTCAGCACATTTCTAAGCATAATAGTTTTAGAAACCTATTTCTAATAACTGATTTATTTTATCTTTGTCATGATGACAGTAAATAATATTTTACTTGATATTTTTCAAGACACTTCTATACAGCTTAAAGTGACATTTAAAGGCTTAACTAGGTTAATTAGGTTAACTAGGCAGGTAAGGGTAATTAGGCAAGTTATTGTATAACAATGGTTTGTTATGTAGACTATCAAAAAAAATAGCATAAAGGGGCTAAATTTTGTCCCAAAATTGGTTTTTAAAAAATTAAAAACTGCTTTTATTCTAGCCGAAATAAAACAAATAACTTTCTCCAGAAGAAAAAATATTATCAGACATACTGTAAAAATTTCCTTGCTCTGTTAAACATCATTTGGGAAATAATAAAAAAAGAAAAAAATCAAAAGGGGGCTAAGAATTCTGACTTCAACTGTATGTACATGTAAAACAGAACTGAAATTTTGGTTTTGCCATAGAATTGTTACTGTTACCACTTTACCAATTTTTTTACCATCTGGTATAGGTTGTTTTCAATCACCTGGTTCCAATTAACGCGCAAAATTCAGAGGGAAGGCAGAAAGTAAAAAACTAAATGGGAGACATAGAGGAAAGTCTGTGTTTTTGCGATTTATACCATATTTCAAAGGAGATGTAAATAGAAAATAGCCACATATGTTGGGCATGATCCTTATATCATGAAGAGGGCAGAGTTTTCTACTGAACTAAAATATATTTGCCTGTCATCGAGACGATATATTCTATTTGCCTGTCATCGAGCCGATATATTCTTCTATTACATGAAAAAATACCATAGTAAATACTATAGATAATTACTTGAATTAACATGTCATGGTAATTATATTGTTGCTGTGGTACAAAACAACTGTAGTAATAAACAAATTATTCAAGAGGCTTTAGTTCTCTTCGCTATAATTATACACCATCACAATGCACCTCAGTTTACACTAACGTTATTTATTACAGTTCATAAGTTTACTGTACTACAATATTTGGTGGTAGCGTTCATTAACAAAGAGCTGTACACATTTTACACTTCATGGTTGTTTATTATGCCGAAATGCCGGTAAAGACTTGGATTATTGCAAAATAAGGAGATTTCATTACAGCGAGAACATGATAAAGTACTCTATTTATGTTCTTCTGGATTTTGTATGAGTGTGGTGGTGTTTGTGTCTGATTTTTATACAACACATTAACATATTTTTACATATTGCTAGGCTTGTATATAATCTTTATTGGTGCTGTCAAACGAAGCGAGCATTCAAAAGAAAGCTTGTACACATGGATGGATGGAATAAATGTTTATTACATGCCACCTTTTCTTTCGTTTTTCAGCCATTTTCATGAACTTTCCCTCTTTTATGAGCGAAAACTTTCGGAAGTCTATAAAAGCTGTTCGCTATTTCTTGTTTTAGCCAGTTTAAACAATTATAAACAACAGAAAAAAGAAACATTTTGATGTTCTGATAACGATTCCTCTGTAGAAGAATCACTTCCTGCCCTCCATCTGAGTCTCGTGTGCCATCAATGACGTCATGTGAAAACAACCTATAGACAATTGGAACATGTTCACCTACATGTTTTATATACACACTCAGAAGTCCACTATGTAAATCAATGCAACTGCCCACTGAAGAAGCTGACTGTTTTACAGTGATATCTTTTGTCAAACATTTTACAAACACTCTAAATAAAATCGACTAACATGTAGACACTTTTATAAATTTATAAATGCTTTTTGTGTGTCGGAGAAGCTGAATATACACATTCCATAATATTCTGTCTCCAGAAGTGGAATCAAAAAAGTAAAAATAAAAGAGCAATAAGACAGTTTATCCCTAAATGGTATTAATCAGCTGACACAAGAAAGCATTTCCATACAGTATATGATTTTCTGCTTTATTTGTAGTTTGAGTGCTTATAGTTTATTGCTGGTTAGTGTATATACAATACAACAAACCAATAGAGATCAATTAAATCCAGGTTATTTTGTCCAAATGGCCCTTCAACATACATTTAAATGCTTCTCTTGTGAGCACTCGTGTTTGGGTTTTGATCTAACCCTTCCTCTTGTTTTAGCACACTCAAATTTCTTGCAAGCACACAAGTAGGCCTGTCACGGTTAGCTTTTCAGTAACAGATCTTTATAACATTCTGTGATGTGTATGTGTGTGTTTCACTGTATGCTGTTTTGTATTTGTGTTAGACCCCATTTACACCATTATTTTGTGTCACATACTTGTGATCAAATGATCAAAACACATCCTAATGCCAGATTTGAATAGGAGCCAAGAGACTGTTTAGGGAAGTGGAACTCATTGGTGTGAACAGTTTATAATTAAAGAAAAGATGTATTGTTTTTAGACAAGTTGCACATGATCAAAGAAACCACCAACAAAACATCCTCATAGCTTAGCATTTACCAGGCAGTTGATGGATAACCCCATTGAGTAGATCAATTTTTAAAGCAATCTTTACTGCAGCTGTATTATATAACTGCACTTATACTTCGTAAATAAAACAGCCAAAGGTCATTGTATGTGCTGGAATCTGTAGTGTTTTGCATCACTGCATTTTAAATTAAATGTCTGCTCTGTGGGTGTTAGGGCCACCCCTTTTGTAACACATACTGCAACCACAGCAGATGTAGGAGAAAAATGTCAGCCAACATCAACACTTTTGCTATATTTTTAGAGTGTTTATGTACAGTATTTGAACATGTCACTGCACACTTCGATGGCTGTATAATGTTGTTGTTTTTTTATTCACTTTTCATACAGGAAGTATCTTTGCAGGATGTGAGAAAAGAGATAAGATTCTGTAAAAAGGTCAACTTGCCCATCCTAGGTGTGATTGAGAACATGAGTGGATTTGTTTGTCCTAAATGCAAGGTACAGTATAAAAAAAGGGTCTAGTACTTGATTTTGTGACTTTGTGTATTGATGTTTACATTAACATTTATTAATTTAGCAGACTCTTTCATCCAAAGCGACTACAAATCAAAAGAAAGCAAAAATGTACACTCAACGGCCATTTTATTAGGCACACCTTACTAGTACTTGGTTCGACCCCCTTTTGCCTTCAGAACTGCCTAATCCTTTGTGGCATAGATTCAACAAGGTACTGGAAATGTTCCTCAGAGATTTTGGTCCATATTGACATGATAGCATCACGTAGTTGCTGCAGATTTGTTGTCCTCACATCTATGGTGTGAATCTCCCGTTCCACCACATCCAAAGGTGCTCTATTGGATTGAGATCTGATGACTGTGTTGGGCATTTGAGTACAGTGAACTCATTGTCATGTTTAAGAAACCAGTCTGAGATGATTCATGCTTTGTGTGTTATCCTGCTGGGAGTAGCCCTCAGAAGATGGGTACACTGTGGTTATAACGAGATGGACATGGTCAGCAACAATGGTAGGCTGTGACGTTGACAGGATGCTCAGTTGGTACTAATGGGGCCAAGTGTGCCAAGAAAAAAGCCCCCACACCATTACACCACCACCAGCAGCCTTAACCATTGATACAAGGCAGGGTGTGTATCCATGCTTTCATCTTGTTGACATCAAATTTTGACTCTACCATCAGAATGTCGCAGCAAAAACCAAGACTCATCAGACCAGGCAATGTTTTTTCAATCTTAGCTTGCTGTTCTTAGCTTATCTTCTGCTGCTGTCCATCTCAAGGTTGGACTTGTTGTGTGTTCAGAGATGCTCTTTTGTGTACCTCAGTTGTAACAAGTGGTTATTTGGGTAACTGTTGCCTTTCTATGAGATTGAACCAGTCTGGCCATTCTCCTCTGACCTCTGGCATCAACAAGGCATTTGCACCCACAGAACTGCCGCTCACTGGATATTTTCTCTTTTTCGGACCATTCTCTGTATACCCTAGAAATGTTTGTGCGTGAAGATCCCAGTAGATCAGCAGTTTCTGAAATAAGCAGACCAGTCCATCTGTCACCAACAACCATGCCCTGTTCAAAGTCACTTAAATCACCTTTCTTTCCCATTCTGGTGCTCGGTTTGAACTGCAGCAGATTGTCTTGACCATGTTAACATGCCTAAATTCATTGAGCTGCTGCCATTTAATTGGCTGATTAGAAATTTGCGTTAACGAGCAGTTGGACAGGTTTTCCTAATAAAGTGCCGGTGAGTGTAAGTGCCTGGTGCAAATAAATAGAATGTCCTATTCTTGGAGTTTGATTTTATTATCATAATAACCACTCTCTTGCTTATGCTTGAAAGCAATAATGCAGTTTTTTCAGTCAGCTACAGTTAATGAGGACGGGAGTTGTCAAGATTAAAAGAGGATCCGAAAGCAATCTATTAAGAGAAAGGAAATATATCAAATTTGCATCATCGTGTCAATTTTTCTGAAATCATATGAAGCCTTGTGCAATAAAGACAAGTTATTAAAAAATGATAATAAAGGCAATAAAGATACATTTACACTACTGTTCAATTTTAAGGCAGAACAATTTGTTAGGGGGAAAGAAGGGTGGTTATATTTATCAGTTAAACTAAACAAAGATAACTAATATTTGTAATAATAAATGCATATTTTTAAACTTCAGTTCATCAATCAAACAAAACAAAAACAATTCCACAAAAATAAAATAGTGTGTCGCAATCATACCTGTCAACCCTCTTGTTTTTCCTGGGATTTTCCCGTATTTTACAATTCTATCTCACTATCATCCCGTAAAGGTATTTTCCATATTTTTTATATTTCTATGAAGGGTGGAAATAAACATTAAGGAACCAATTCTCCCTATATGCAACCCATACCACCAAACCACCAGGGGACACCCCTTGCTCTTAAACGTGACAGTGTTCTGTGCTTTCATTGCTTTCTGTGATTTCATTCAGGCATTGAAACACTTTGAAATGAATATAAAAACTGTCAGATGCGCTCCAAAGAAACAAACAAACTCTGTCTCCCAAACGGATTTTGTACACGTGATTTTAAGCAGAGCAAAAGTGGACACTCTTTTTTTGGGTTTTGAGTGCGTGTTCAAACAGACATATAATAATAATAATAATAATAATAATAATAATAATAAACTTTTAATAAAATAATTACATTTTCTTTTAAACACAACAAAAACTTAGGAAAGCAATCACATGCTTTCATTATAGACCTGTGCATTTTTAAAGTGACACATCTGTTGTTTAATGTAATTAAATAAAAAATCTAAATGAGAGATTCATACGCTGCTCTTTAATCAGAAGGTTTCAGTTATACAGTGAAGAAAAGGTTTATGATAGCTATTATTTTAATAGGCTAAATTGTTTGCTAATTTATTGACAGTTTTTACTTATGTGTATTATTAATTCTATCCTTTGTAAAAAAAGATATAATAATAATAATAATAATAAACATATTACTGAATGTTTCAACTGTTTATTTTCAATGAAGCAGCTTCAGATCAACATATTTATTAATTTGGGAATTAAATATTTAATTTTCCCCTTGTTTTTATATCCCAATGTTGACAGGTATTGTTGCAATTATCATAACAATAAGAAATGTTTCTGTACATCAAATATAATATATCATTTGACGCTGAAAACTGGGGAAATAACTGCTGAAAATTCAGCTTTGACCTGGCTGGAATAATTAAAATTTAAAGTATATGAACTCAGAAAAATTATCAAAATATTTTACACCTAATTTTTGTTTATAAAGGTTGCCTTCTTTGGACTCTTTTTCATTCAGCTTCAATCCTACATTATAGCTACATGAAAAAGAGCAACTAAATTATGTGCTACACAGAAGAAAGTAGAAGAAACACAAGTGACTAATTTAAATATCATTAAATGGACAATGACATTAAACAGGGTTTTTTAAATATCTTTTTTCCACTCTGTTGACAGAACACATCGCAGATATTTCCTCCGACCACAGGAGGAGCACAGAGAATGTGTGAAGAACTAAATCTCCCTCTTTTGGGCAGAATTCCCCTTGACCCACGGATAGGTAAAAAAAAAAAAAAACATTAATCTTCTACCATTCACAAGGAAAAGAACGAGATAAAATACTATTCTACCATAGCAGTCAGTGTATGGGGAAGTATAACAATTTACATCGTAGCGATGTGGTGCTTTCTATTTCTTGATTTTGAGAGAGTGTTTCCTTGTTTTTATAATCACAGTGTTGTTAGTATATTGAATGAAGTATCAAAAACTCCCTAAAATGTCTGAGAAAGTCTCTGCAGGCGGTAGTTTCTAGTTCTCTAATGCACTTCTGCTTTTCAAGGGAAAAGTTGTGACGAAGGAAAGTCATTCCTGACTGAAGTTCCAGACTCTCCTGCAGCAGCGGCCTATCAGAGCATAGTTCAGAGTAAGTCTCTTTAGGGCTTTTTGGTATTTTCTTCTAAGTTGAATCTTTAACACCTTGTTGAGAAACATTTACAGTGTAGTTTTTTTAATGCTGAGTTAGTGAGTGCCAGACATTGCAGTGCCAAACATGTACAGTGTAAGCTGATCTTATGGTAAAAGTTTACTGCTAATAGCTTAGCAACTGTCAACCAATCATGCTTCTCACATTCACAACATATTTTCAGAAGCAGCCATAGATGCTACATTTCCTTCTACCTATTTTAATGCGCATTTTGGATATGTGCATAAAAAATGGTTGATGAAAGCGCCAAGATGTGCATAAATTTAGAAAATGTGCATAAAACGTGTGTACATAACTAAGTAGGATAAACTTTTTATTTGATAAGTAAAGATGCATATAAACTACAATGGAAACACTTTTACCAAACAAATTCCAGCATGCACATTAAAAAAGTCATGTGATTTTGTTATAAGAGATCATGTGATGGTAAAAATGTGTGTAAATGGACAAACCAACAGGCTCAGCACATTGTAAAACATCTTAAATGTTGTTTTGGTCATTCTAAAATGCCTTCATCATTTCGGTATTAGTGTTATTATATTATTAATGACCTCCAGAATCAAAAGTACCTGTGCAACGGGTCTCGCGCCTTCAAACTCCATGTGTTATCCCTGCATGTCAGGATTGCCTTCTGAGGCGCAAGTCCTTTATTAAATGAGGAAAAGATTCACGCAGCTTCTCCTACCGCAGTAAATTCCATTTTACTGTTGATTATTTGGCGCCAGTTAATCAGGATGTGACGATTTTGTTCTCTTTGACACGTTGGATGAAAATGCTGCTTTATTCACACATCTTGTATGCGATGTTCCTGTTTTGCACATAAAGTTAATTAGCATTTTTGGATGGAAACATAGCTATAGATGCACTGTTGGTTGTATATTAAAAAATAACCCTACCCATACAAATGTCAAATGTATTGCAATGCACCAAAGTATGCATTTCATTGTGACACGTAAGTTGTAACACATCTTTTGTATCTTTTTCATGGCTTGTGATTGGACTGCGTCGAATTAAAAAAGCATGCAGTTAGAATTCATTGTCATTACGAAAAAGATCTTGTCATTATTAATAACTATCTGCTGTACTAAAGAGCTTTTCGACACAATCATTACATCCAAATTTGTATCAGTTAATTAGTTGTTTTTTATGTATTTTTTTGTTAAAAAATAATTTTAAGTCACTTTGTATGAACATGTGACTTGTAATGACTTTTTACTTATTAAAGGTGCAGTAGGTGATCTGCCAGAATGCTAACGTTAACATAATTTAGAAAATGTACGTCCCTCCGCTTTGTCCAAAGCCATGCCTCATTAAGTCATGAACACCAAATAGATGATGATCTGATGACAATACACAACCTTATATAACACTAGAGCATGTCATTCACCATTTAGAAAACTCTATGGAGATACACACTTTGTCCAGCGTAGTTGTTGACAGGCATGCAGCTGCAGGAATTATATTTCCCTATAACTGGCATTGGGGTAAAGCTTTATATCCGCACATTCAGACTTTAATAATATGATTTCATTAAAGTATTGTTCGCAAATTCTAAATAGTGAAATCATATAGTCAGCTAATGACTATTTAATGCAACATTGTTTACTGTCAATTAAATCATTAAGTCATACCCACATGCTATTTCAGACCCAATATTCTAAGTAACGTTAGAGCAGGAGCCTGTCACAGGTTGTCAAAAATTTTTTTTTTAAATTAACGAATGTGCAAATATAAATCAAACTTCACCTTAGTAAAGCTGGATAGGCGGAAGAGCACCATTTACTTATGTTTCGTTATTCAAATAAAAAAATAATAAATCAGATCAGAAAAAACGTAGTCAACTTTTTACATTACACTTACTTACCAAGACAATGAGTGACTTTTAGTTTTCAACTGTGCTCACTGATCCTTGATCCTCGTGTTTTTGTCTTTAGGGTGTCCGCGGGGTCTTAAATTTTTTTTAAAAGTTGATAAATCAATTATGAGAGTATTAAGGCCCTTAAAAGGTATTAAAAAGTCTTAATCACATTGTTACGAGGTCTTAAATTTTGTTCAAGCGTTGTCCAAAGTGTTTGACTCCGAAAGAGCATAAATATATTTATTTTCCTCCAGTTTAAACAGTGGCTGAAGCTTGTCGCTGAAAACAACTGCCTAATATATTCTTTTAAACTTTGTTTCTTCTGAACTTATCTTAATTCTGTTGCATGATTGTGCTCTACTGATTTATTTAACTACAGCTGTTTATTAACAACTGTTTATAAAGTTAAAGATTTGATACTGATTAGAACTTGAAGTGGCGATGAGGTCTTAAAATATATTTTGAGAGTCTTTAAAAAGTCTGAAAAAGGTATTGAAATTACCTTTAGGATTCCTACATATACCCTGATCTCCTTTTACACTTGAACAGCTAAACAAATGCTTAGGTCTATTTAACCAATTATATTATCAGTGCTGTAAAACATACGCCATGAATTTAAATATAGTCAATCTTTCATGACGTTTTCAGTGACTGAACAACACTACCATGCATATAAACCGTTTATAAACAAGAAAACAATCTACATAAGCTTAGCGTGACTAAAATAGTTTAAAAGCATACCTGTCTAAAAGTAATACTTCAGCCATGGTGTCATCCTTCAGATCGTTGTTTTGAGCTTCTGCATTTTTGGCAGAAGCCCTTTTAAAAGGCCGCCTTGGTCTTTCAGAAAGAAGTTCAGGTTGCTGCTTGCTGAGTTTACCTGATGTCACTGTCAGCTGTAGGTGTCCATGCTTCTCATGCACACGCAAATGACGGATCTTGTCTGCATGTATGAGCTGCACAAAAACACACATTTAAATTTGTTGACAGAGAGTTACCTATCGTAATTGAGTTATTTGACGGCCCGATGATTTTTAATAGGATGAACACTTTTTAGGCTCATGTCTTACCCAGAATATAAAAATACATATAAATACATTTAGATCACAGATTTGTTTAATCATTACTATAGGAATGAGAAGAGACTTTCAACCAACACAACAAAAAATGTTTTTGAAGACTATCATCTACTGCACCTTTAAATATATTGCTGTAATATGAGGATACTCAGTGCTAGCATTCATCCATCTAATGACACCACAGAAAGGCTAATTAGAATGGATTAATTGTTAACATTGTTAATAATTACCTATAGTTAATATATTTTAAGTATAAAATCCTGGTTCTGTACTAACCTGTCAGGCATATAAGCTGATTAACTGCCATTATTTAACATTCTGGTAATGCTGCTTTATAGATTTGCCTAACAGTCCTAATTACTGGCACTGACAGTTTAAAAATGCCAAGCTTTGCCACAGGCACAAATACTGTGTACACAGTAACTATAGTAAATACAGGGACACAATTGTGACTGAATAAAAACAACTGCAGAAATAACAATATATAGACGATATGTTGAGCGTTTGATTTCCCCATTCCTTTTTAGAAGAACCAGTTTTTCAGTATGTGTTTCGGTAAGCTAAGACATAAATGAGCGTAAGATATTTAATCTGGATTTGTCTGCCAAGAATGATAAGATTCTGAGAACTTGTTTTATATAGATTCTTTCCTCCACTTTTTTGCTTACTCAAGGATGTTTTGCTTGGTCTAATACTTGTTATCCATTTGCATTTATTTACCTTATTAAAAAAATTTATTTCATTTAAAATGTTTCAAAATCTAGTTTGCAATAGCCCCTTTCACACAGTGATACCGGTTAATATCCTGAAAATTTCTGGAACGACTTTACCGGTAAATTCAAAAAAGCGCTGTTCACACAGGCGAGGACGTTACGGAATTTTTCCGGAAAAGAGCATTCACACATCCATGGCAAAATGCTGGTAAATTCTGACATCATTAGCCAGAAATGACCTCTAAACGGCTGCGCTTGTGTTTGTAAACATTTGACTACATTACAAACTCTTTGGATGGATCAGTATTGAGTACAATTCCAATGAAAACATATAGAGGAACACTTTCGTATGTCGAGATGTTCATGATATGTGTGTGTGCTGGCGCTCACGCAAAGCTTGAAGGTAAACAAACAACGGATTATCATAAACATTTTATCGATAATTATTTACACAGTTGGCATTAAGAAGGAACATAGAAACGTTATCTGACTAACATCTAATAGCTAAAGGTGTCTGGAAAAATATTCACAGGCTTTTATTCTCATAAACCGCGCGGACGTGAATGCGTCTGACTGTTCTGATTGGCTAAAGCAGGTGTCTCACGTCAGCACGTTCTAGACGTGGACGCGCTCTTTCCGGTAATCTTCCTTCTGCATTCACACAGTGCAGCATTCCGGCAAATTACCGGTAATGTTACAACTTCTCTTTCCGGAAAATAGCCAGAATGAATTTACCGGTATTTTTAAAAAGGGCCTGTTCACACATACAGACCTTTCCGGAAAATTGCTGGGAATTTTCCGGAAAGGTCTGTGTGTGTGAAAGGGGCCAATGTATGGGACACTGCTATATATTATAGATGTAAATATTCAATTAAAGTAGGGCATTAAAGTGGTTTATATATATATATATATATTTTTTTTTTTTTATTTTTTTTTCCCCCAAATATATGTATATACTTTTTTTTTATTTGATGTTAGATGTTTTGTCAAGTTTGCCCCTATGTTGGTGATCAGATATGATTAGTAAGGGCTACTGGTTGGATGTGGATGCTTGCAAAGGTGTTCTAAAGTGTTTGCACATA